CAACCAACATGTTCCTGTTGTGTTCATCTAAACTTGAACTAATCTTTCTCTCGTGCTGAGAAATTGATGGATTTTGAGGGTAAATAGTTAGGGACAGACTGATATGTGGTTTTTGGGGTTGATACCGATTAGGGGAGGGGAAAAATCAGATGCCGATATCTTAGATCTATGTCCTATCTGTACAGACAGAAAGATATACACATTTATTACGGTGATATCAGCACATATCTGGGATCAAATTAGCCGACACCGATAGTTACTGGATATGCTAATATTGGCCAATATTAACAACTGGACGATTTCCTGGTCAGGTTCTAGAAATAGTTATATCTCTCTCTCTCTCTCTCTCTCTCTCTCTCTCTCTCTCTCTCTCTCTCTCTCTCTCTCTCTCTCTCTCTCTCTCTCTCTCTCTCTCTCTCTCTAACAGTACCCACATGTTCTGTATTACCTGTTCTGACAACCAGCAGACTTTAATGTTAGCCAACACAGAACATGAGGGAATTGAACTTTCTCCTATGAGATTAGGAACATTTTATGGGACTTCCACTGTACCTTCAATGTTTTATGATTAAGAATGATTTTATGCATTATATCAAAACAAAAGTTGTAATTCAGTGTTGTGTGTTTGGCTCATCTTACAGTCTTGTTTCTTACGTATCTTTTGTCTGTGTGTTAGGGTGGGCTGTTTGAAACGGCCTTTTGTTGCCTGGTTGGGATTTTTACAACACTCAAACTATATTTGAATTCCTAACATACAAGTCTTATTGTCTTTAAAAGATGATGCACTCAGACTTTTCTTCAGATAACTTTCAGAAAAGGCTGCTGTTATTGCACTTAGACACTCTAACTCATGGCAGAAACTAGTTTATTCCACAACCTGTTCAATCTTATCCTTTTCTCTAAATACTTTAAAACAATCTTTAAAGGATTGTTCCTTTAGGCTGAACTACTTTCATCTGAGGCAAACTCAATGTCTTAGTGGGATCATGAGTCAACATTGATTATTTTAATGAGAACCAGACAAAAATGCAAAAGACAAATAAGGAAGATAGTAATCAGAGCTGGTTTTGTAAATACTACAGTTGGAAAAAGACTGAGCCGAAAGTGGATTAGATGTCTAACGAATCTAACTTGACATTTAACAGTTTGAACGTCATTATTAAAATGCTAGAAACAAAGCAGATAAACAATCCATATGAACCACTTTCTCACATCTATTTTAGAACCAGGAGAGGCCTACCCAGTTAATTCCCTGGAGAGATTTCTTTTTTAAACTATGTAGCTCTAAAATAGTTGCCCTCACTTGCCTCGAGTACAAGCATGAGTAGGTCAAAGCCTAACCACATGATTTAGGTTATTAGCACTTGATTTAAAGCACATGAGGCTACAGCACGTGCTGATATCACCTTACACTCATAAATAGGCCAGGTTCATTTCTCATTTCCTCCTGGGGAATACCTTGTGTCTTGTGAACAGAAGTTTTCTAAAGAAAGGAGAAGTCATAGGGGCTCCTTATTTCCACTGACGGCAAACAAAAGCTCTTATATTAGATGAGCACGAACTAAATCAGCCCAGACTTTACCTGCTCGCCCAAAGTATGTATGGTTGGGGATATTTTTGAGTCCCAGCAGGACTACAGCAGGACTTCATGGACCTATAACAGTTGCAACAATTCTCTGAGTTCCTTTCGGCATCAACTGTCATGTGTGTGCTGTGTGAATGGAGCGACAAGGTGACTGTTGTGACGGTCTAACAGGTGGACGTGCATGTGAATGACACGTCCACCTGTTAGACGGACTCCTGGACTCCCGGTGCATAAGTGACCGCAGCATGTGTGGTGGCTGTGAAAGCACGTACATATGGATCTGTCCATAGAGGACAAACATAAACCTAAAGAAACACTCCAGAGAAAAGATTTGTGTTTTAGGTCATCATTTCATTCTGTAAAAGAAAAAAACATGATGTGTTTGTGTGCATGGTTTGCATACATCAAATGCTGCACTTTTGAACTGTGTGAAACAGAGGCTGCATTAAGCTGCTTCACAGGAAAAACAAATCCAGTCTAGACATTTTCCTCCTCAAACCTGACGTCATTACTCACAGCACACGTCCATCAGCAGTGTGGCTCTGTTTAAAGTCACTTCTATTAAGTTAACATTGTTCCAGTCTCCTACGTAGACTATTTTCTGTTTTTATGATGTGAGTGTTTGCATATGTACGCGCATGCAGAACATTTCAGTGTAACTCTGCAGGAACATTCTAGATTTTATAGCTCTTAAATACCTTTTGTGAACAGAGGACCAGCTGACGTTCACCACGAGGGAATCACTTGCAAGACTAAAAGAAAGGAGACAATGTGAAATTGGGTTAAAACAAGAGAACATTATACATAGGCCTACTGTATATGGAGAAAATCAGAGGAAAGTAATATGACCTTTATTTGGATTCACAAATGTCTTGGATTCCTGTCACAGGATACTGAAGTCTTTTTTACCTCCATGGGAAACCTTAGTCAGCATAGCATGTAAACTCAAGTTAAAAATCTACATGTTCACAGTCTGACCCTGTGTTGGGGCAGAACTAAATATATGTACTCGGGTTGTATTATAGCATATATTTATTCTGTTCCAGAATAAATATATGCTATAATAAAATTCTGTTTCTGTGCAGTTGTTCTGATAACAGTGGTCAGGGAAGAAGCTGACAACATCCTACAGATTATCATGCAGCTTTCTTCTGAAGACACCTCTAGATCTCAGAATCGGTTAAAGTTTACTTTCTCTAATAACACTACCATTTCTATGTAAATAAGAAGTAATACTATATCAACCGCCTTTCATTTTAACTTCAATTTAAAAGTCAATGAGCCACACTGGTATTCCCCACTGGGAGCAGCTAGGCAGAAAAATGACATTGTTCTGATGGAGAGGAATGATAAAATATTGCAATGTAATGCAAAGGTATTCTGAGGGAATGTTAAATATTGGGAGGTGCAAAAGCATTGCCTAGGAACACAAAAGTGGCCCTAAAGAAATTATAGGCATGACCACCCTTTGATGGTTCGTTAATTATCAATAACCATCAACAATAATAAATGGTGTTCCGAGTCATATGTTGTGTGTCCTTAGCTTTGTCACATTTTCTAAACTTCATTTTTGACTGTTTTCTGTGGAGACCTCAGATACCTTCAGATCAGCTAAATGTAAACAGTTAAAAAACTGAAAACAAACATTTCAAAAATGAAACATGCATTTACTGTAGGCCTATGAACTTTCAGTAGAAAAAAAAACATTTAAAAATTAACTCAAAAACTGTCAAATGAATTACGAATTTTCAGGGAAACTCAAAACTATAGCAAGGCAATGCCAAAGTATTGTGATTTAACACAGTAAAGACTCTTCCCACATGTTGGAAGAGAGTCCTGCTGGTTTAAATCATGTTTCAACAAGTTACGGAAGTATCACTGTCTCAGTGATCTCAAATGTTCACACTACAGAGGAAACCCAACTTGCTGGAGAAATGACACCCATCCAGCAGCCTGCCAGTGCAAACTAGACCTGAACCATGTTATTAAGTCCCAATCCTAGACCTGTCTCTTAGACTCACTCCTGGTTTTATTTCACCACAAATTGCCCATTGACTGCAGGTGTTTGTGGGTGTATTTAGAGGGCAGTTGGTGTGGTGTTGGTACATGAGCAGAGACAGGAAGTCTTTAGACACTTTTAATCCCTTGATTACCTTCCAGTCTGCCTGCACATCCAGTAACTGTGATAGAGTATAAATGGAACAAAATAAGTCATCATGATGATGTGTCCTGGGCTACTTTTGTGACCTCTGAGTGTAGTGTTCTTGCTTTTGTTTTATTGGCCTATTGTGTAGTTGTTGCTGGATACCAAAGGGGGAATTGAAAATCTTATTTGAGATTTTTAAAACAGGTTTTGATCATAAATTATTTTAATGTCTCTCTCCAAAACATGCAAATGTTTGGCCTTATTTTTTAACAGTCATAGGCTATCATTTGCTTTGGCGATATTGTCACATGCAATGCCAACGAAGCTTACTGGATTTAATTATATAGACTATAATTAAACTATAGTCACACATAGATTTGAAGGGATTTAGCCGTATGAGTTTTTAAATAACGGGACTTTGTTGGGTTTCACACAGCAAAGCTTGTGATATTAAGTGCTGGCATCCTTGGGGAAATTATATGGGCTTTTATTTGAGTAAATATTCTTATCATGAAAGACTTGCATGGGTTTTATACTTATAAAGTCTTTGAAGGTAAAGTGACTTCAAAGTTATTGGATCCGTGAACACACCCTCCTGTGAAACAGCAGCAGGTTATCTTATCTCTGAATTTTCTTATCTTCGTATTCGTTTCATCTGTGTTCAAAACTGAACGTGACGGCCAGTGACGTGCTGTCTCGCGCATCAGTCACGAGTTAAAATTGCTCCGATTGGCGCGCGTCACAAGAGTGCTGAGTTAGTGATGGGTCACCACTGCCACCATGTGGTGGAGAGGTGCGACAGTGCCTCAGTGTGGGGATCCAATAGGTTTATCACATCCCCTTACAGTGGCCAGTGAAGCTTTGCAAGTCTTGTCGCAGCCTGAAGTCAGTAACAACTGGCAGCCTGATCTTTATGTCGAAATGTAAATTAAATGGATCTAAGCAAATTCAGACTGTTTTTGATGTTTCTGAAATAGTTCAGAGCCCAGTTAACGACTAACCCCCTCCCTCTCTCTTCCCCCCCCCCCTCTCTCTCTCTCTCTGTCTCTCTCTCTCTCGCTTACACACACACACACACACACACACACACACACACACACACACACACACACACACACACACACACACACTTTTTCTTTACGGTGATGTTGTACGTAACCGTAACGTCAGATTCATCCAAAACGCCCCATCACCATGTCAAACTCAAATGTTCGTCTTTAATGAGTTAGTGTTAAAGTTCATCCGATAGAGCAACCATCACTTTCAGCCATGGAGAAGTTTTTACTTCTGACTTTCCTCTTATATGTTCTGGTATGTTTGGGTACCGGTCAGCACCATTTACGCGCACGTGTTGGACCGTGGAGTCAGCGGTTCCAGTGGGAGAATAACGGGCAGGTGTACAGTTTACTTAGCACTGGGACTCAGTATCGTTTGCCTTCACAGACCAGGAGACGCACTCAGCTCTTGTTGACGACTAAAAACAACTTGAACCGACTTCACCCTCCTGTTGCGATTAGCAGATCCAGCAGGACCAGATCTGGAGACGCAACAGGAGGTCAGTCTCAACAAAACGACATCATTCAGATGGACGGGTCTGTTCTTGGTGCTGATGCGGGTCAGTATTTGCTCGCCTCGGGACGGCAGGGGACACACGCTCAGTCCCCGCTGCGCGTCTCGACCACAGGTGCTGCGTCTGTGGGACACCATTCTAACAACAGCGCTGCCTCTTTCACCTCCATCCAGGAGTTCTCCGGCAGTGGAATCCCACGAGGAGGCAGAATCACACCTGGAGATGACGCTAGCTCACAACCGGCCACTGTGTCAGCGGTAAGAGCAGCGGAGTTTACGCGCAGCCGGGTAGGTAGGCTAAGATCCGAGAGCTCGGATTCTACTGCTCGGGCACCTGGCACAGCTGGATGGGTCAATATGGCTGAGGATAGTGGAACTAACTTAGGTGTCGCTCACAGTGTGCAAAGAGCGCAGTCACTGACCAGAATACCACCGGAGACAAATGTTTCCCCCACAGCGCTCTCCAGTAACGCCGTAGAAATACACTTTCCTCCTGCAAGAACGGATACAGCACGGACTGAAACGAGTGACCCACGAGACCCGCACAGCATTCATCACAGGAACTCGGTTTTCTATGATGTTCACCCAGCAGACCGCAGAAACAGGATCACTGTGCGCCCTCCACCTGCTGCAGGCTACGGCACCAGGTTCTTCCACAATGGTGAGAAGAACACAGGAGTTATAATAACGACATGGAAAGCAATATTTCTAACAGAGTCTCAGTGTAAAACCCAAGATATTAGTAACCCCCTTAAGTCATACCAAGCTCTAAATGCAGCTCATTATTTGTGAAATCCCTTTGGAGCATACAAAATGCTTCCTTAATGCATTTCAAATTTAAGTAGGCTAGTCAATTCTCCCAATGAGATAATGTTTCTAGTATGAGTGCCTCTGGTTTATCTAGCTTAATAGTGTGAATGCAATGCATTGGCTGGATGAAGTGTTAATGTATTTATCACTTACACCTTTGAGTAAATGTGCAAATTTCAAAATTAATACAGCTAAAAATGTATGATTTAAAATGAACTCAATTATCAGGAGTATTATTAGAAGTTCTTACACATGATTCCCCCATATTCATCAGTAACCCTGCAGTCTTTTATTAACTAGATATTTTAAATTCTATCTTATCTATTCAGATGTGGATAATGTTCTATACTTTAATAGATACAGATGAGAAACACACTTTTCTGATGATGTTTGTATGCATGTTCAGATAAAAACAAAATGATGGCCCATCGTTAATACACAATGTGTCTTCTCCAAATGCCTCTGAGAAAAGAAACAAGTAAAAAGCTTTCATATATTTTTTCTACAGACACTGAAACAGATGAAGCTCCTACTTGTTAACTGCCCACCCCTATAGTGTAATGTCAGCAACACCCCTGAATTTCTGGTAAACCCTTGTATGCATTTCCGCTAACTTGAAGTTGTGGATTCATTCTCTACAGGTCTCCCAGACTTGGTTCCTGACCCTTACTACATCCAGGCTGCCTCGTACATCCAGAGAGTGCAGATGTACGCACTCCGATGTGCTGCTGAGGAGAACTGTCTGTCCAGGTGAGCTTATTCATTTAACATCAAACCATATACAGTCTATCAAGTCAAGACTGTTGAATGAACGCTGATATTTACTGAGGATGTAAAATATTAAGTCGAATGCTAACAATCTAGTTTTTAAATGTCATTAGACACAAAAATCAATTGAGTTTACATATCAAAGAAGTAGAGAAGGTATCATTTAGGAAACCTTTGAGGTTGCCACATTAGGATGTTTGTTGGCCTCAGTCCCATTTGGAAGCTGTATATCTGAGTGACAAAGCGGCTTGACACAGATCTGGCAACCGCCTGAGATTCTCTCCTCTGATCTGAGCAGCAACTCTGCCAAGTAAAAGAAGCTCTGAAATGAAAGGAGAGGATTCCTGAGGTGAAGTTCTGAAGCAAGACCAAAAACCACCTTCTAGACTTGTGTACGTAGTAAATCAACATTATGTAAACCGCTCAGGGAGGAAGAGATGGAGTTCAGTGTGCAGTGAAGTGTGTGTGGAGGATAATGTGATGTAAAGATACCACAAACAAAAAGGTTATACAAGTCATCTCCAGCGGTGCACTCAGGGGTTTAGTAAAGATACTCGAGGTTAACTTGGCTCATTCCCTTCCTGTTTCCCTTTTTCTATCAGGTCTGCGTATCATCCGAGTGTGAGGGACCTGGACTATAGAGTCCTGCTACGCTTCCCGCAGCGAGTCAAGAACCAGGGAACAGCAGACTTCCTCCCAATGAAGCCCAGACATGAGTGGGAATGGCACAGCTGTCACCAGTGAGTTCAGTGCTTTTATTTAGGACCAGATCAGCCAGTCAATGCACAATAATCTACAGAGGTCTGTTTTTGTTTATCTCCAAGATCCACTTAATCATACTTCTGAACTTATGTAAGTTTATTATAAGAAGTATTGCCAAATTATGATAAATTAAGATACTTATACTGATCTACACACTAACATGTATTTTGCAAAGGTGTTGACAAAAAGCACGTGTGAACATTAGCAGTCGCGTTGTAATAAAGACTGCAAACAAATCAAACATTTATACACAACACTGTATATCACATTGATGAGGCATATAAGGGCCCGAAATGTAACAACGACCCTAAATGTTATTGCAAAAGTAATAAAACCTTAAATTTAATAACTGGTCAATAATGTAACAAGATGCTGAGCCCAAAATGTGATAACTTTTTGCCTAAATATTTTTCCCCTAATTGTGTAATAATTTTATTAAATCATAGAGTGAGTCAATAATTCATGGATTAAAGGGCATATTACTTCAATGTAGAGTGTAGTATCATACACAAATGCCTCCGTCCGTGTGTGTGTGTGTGTGTGTGTGTGTGTGTGTGTGTGTGTGTGTGTATGTATATATATATATATATATATATATATATATATATATATATATATATATATATATATATATATATATATTTCACTGGACTTGAACTGCTTCAATTTGAATAACACTGGGAGAATGGGGCTGTTCTAACACTTTTATACATCTATATACAGTCTATGGTATTTATGTATGTTTGATGTTGCCCAAGTTATTTATCATCTTCTGTTCTCTAAAAGTGAAGAACGAGTGAAGATAACACACAAGACATCAAGAGGTCAATTATGGAGACCTAAAAATAATTATTTCAACTGTTTTCATTAAAATTGTAATGTGATGATGTATATATGAGGGACGGGGGCATTTGCGTATGATACTGTACTCCACATTGAAGCAATAATCCCTGCAGTATTTAGAGAAAAATATTTAGGCAAAAAGTGATTACGTTTTGGGCTGAGCATCTTGTTTTATTATCGACCAGTTATTATATTTTGGGTTTTACTACTTTATTTTTATTACATTTTGGGTCATTGTTACATTTCGGGCGCTTTCAAGGCAGCATCTGTTATTAACATTGCAGCTTTAGTAATACAATCACAATCAATCACGTGAAGCCATGTTCTACGGTTAGATATTTTGTGTTGCTTTAAAAACATGATTGCAAAGCTGAAGATTTGATTAGTTCGCCCTCTCCCCCTATAAACACATGAAAGTTTGCTTTGGCTATGCATAAAACGGAACCCTAGAGTTAGCTGGCTGTGTGTATGGGTGAATGTGAGGGAAGTTATAAAGCATTATATTTCAATGCAGTTCATTAACAGTCACTCAGCAGTTAAAGAAATACACTTGTCTTTCCTCATACTGAGAGCAAAGTATCTGGATGCCAAATCCTTTTGCAAAAAAAGAACCAATAAGCTCAATAAGCCCCCCCCCCTCCCCCCAACCAGGACCCACACAACAAAAAAGTGATACCAAAAATATTGCATACACTTTGATCGTTTTCATTGATAAGATCCTATCTGAAAACCCCTACACACTTGTTCTTCTTTCTGTTTCCTTGTAATGTTTTAACATGATTAAATCTGCACCCGCCCACCAGTGATTTAAGACACTAAAGCAGCCTTATTTTGAGACTCATGCAGCTTTATCAGCAGCTTTTAGAATGTTGATATTTAAGATAGGAAGTGACTGCATGATTTTTCTAGGAACACAAAAGGATGCACATGGATTTTTATTATCTTTATATGTTAGTAACGTTTTTGTATTTCGGCCCCTATATGTTAATATGAACTCAAAATGGTGATTCCCTCAACACATTGAGAGTCTGTCCTTGTGTCTCCAGACATTACCACAGTATGGAGGCCTTCAGTAACTACGACCTGCTGGATATCTCCACTGAGCAGAAGGTCGCTGAGGGACACAAGGCCAGTTTCTGTCTGGAGGACACGTCTTGCGACCCGGGAACACGTAGACGCTTTGCCTGCACTGCTCACACTCAGGTTCATCTTCTTGTGTCCTTTGTTCATCCATTCTTCCATCATTCCGTCCATATTCATACGTCTAATTGTATACCTCTTTAATTAAAAAAAAAAGAAGTAATATTGAATTTTGGAAGATGAATTCTTTCCATTAGCTTCCAGAAGGGTTATATAAGTTTGTGTTTTTTCTGTCAGGGGCTCGGTCCTGGTTGCTATGATACGTATCATGCCAACATCGACTGCCAGTGGATCGACATCACTGATGTCCCACCTGGAAACTACATACTCAAGGTGGGGGTGTAGAACTGCTTCATGAACATGACAAGTTGAAAAATAATCAGACTCATTATAAACTTCAGCAGAGTACTTGGCAGAATATTTTTCAATTATTATCTAATAAAATATTGATATTTATGCTTCTGATGTTTCTCCAGGTTACAGTAAACCCGTCACAGCTGGTCCAGGAGTCGGACTTCTCCAACAACGAGGTACGCTGCGACATCAGGTACACAGGAAGCTACGTGCAGGCCAGAAACTGCAGAATAACTGGGTAAGTCAACGTTATAGTGATCTATGTCTTGATAGAAAGAGGTTCAAGAAAAGCTCATCACTGTCTTCTTTTCATTTATTCCACAGAAGCTGACCTGACTGAAGCTCTCCAACAAAAATCTATTTTAATACCTTTTTGTTCGTCTGCATCTGCAGTTGCTACTCTGCGATACAGCTGTTTTACATCCAAATGTCTGCCATTATATAAGTTAATGTTTGTATTTATGTATTTCGATATGATGTAGTTACAGTCAGGCTGGATAGTTGTCATGTTAAGTTATGTTATTTGTTAGAAAATGCTGTACATTATTAGTGGATTTTAAAGCAGCGCATGAGTGTTCTGCTTGAGGAAGCATGTTAGCATAGCTCACAAAACTGAAGAAAGAAAGCTATTGTTAGCTAAGCTGTATTAATTCATTGAGTCAAACTGTACGACTGATTTGGTGCTTATTTTGGGGGAAACAGTGGTGCTTTTCTCCCCTGAAATTCATCAGGATTTGACAACATGTGTATTAAAGTTAAGGATTTAAAAGGGCTGCTGAAGTGTAAATAAATACTTTCAGTAATTTCCAGAAGTTTAATGTAAGAGTCTCATTATTGTGTATCTCACCCTGGTACAACAAGTAGTCTTCTGTTATATCAAGAGAAATGATTGATTGTTTGACATTTTTTTATAATAAAGGGCACAAAGGTACCATTGACGGCTTGTGCCTTACATTACTTGTTCCAAACAATCACAACTGATGTCATAATTTTACCCAAATATTTCTCAACATGAAGTCATTTCATTGCTCATTTACTATAAACACATGCTGAGGGTCTTGTATGTTATTTTGGAATAGCGTACCTCAGAGAAATACCTGAAATGATTCCACTTAGCACGTTAACGTCTCTGGGGAGTGACAGCAGAAGACAGAAGGCTCATACCACTAAGCTGTCTGCGTGTTTGTCATGTCGCGTTACGGTGGATGAGTGCTTGAGAAAACATTTCTCTGCCTGTTAATAACCCCATGTGAGGCGTCTGGGAAAGTTTCTCTCTTTTTACATCCTGTCACCAGATTTATGAGGTACACACACTTAGACTAGTGCATTCAAAATAGTATTAATAACCATAAATGAACATAAACAATTCTTTCTTTATGTTCTTTTTTCTTGGCTTTGCTTTTTGCTTTCCAGCATGAACACATTGCTTTATGGGCTTGTGATGTTAAATATAGAGCATGAAGGTAAAAATGTTTTTAACTGTAAGGACTCTGATTTGTTACGGAACTTAAAATCTCTTCCTAGGTTGAAGATAGTTAATCAGGATATTATATATTTGTTGTGAATTTAAGTCATTTACAAGATAGTAGGTGGAAACATAGCTATTAGCTGCACATAGAATCCACAGTTCTCCTATTCTCCTTTCCTAAAAAAATATATTTGGCTTAAAAACAAAAAACTGATGTTTTTGAGCTGAAAATGTAGGCAGGTGGGACCTCAGGGTGCTTGCGTGTATTTCTGTTCCTCTCCTTCTTATGGTAACGCAAAAGAGTGTTTTTTTGCCCTTGTTCAAAGTGAGGCTTTCGTTTTTAAACGCTGTGGGAGTTTTCACTGATTTGTTGGGCTGATGAAACCGTCTCCATCTGTTTTTCATACACTTTGGAAGTCCTGTAGTCACAGAGACGAGCAGGGGAAAAGTTTCTGAGTAGAATGATGTTTGCACTGCTTTAACATTAGTGTGCATTTAGTGCTCAAACACACTGAAATAGTGAAAGAGGATGATTTCAGGCTGGAACCAAAGGAAAAATATGAAAATGCTATTACAAGTAAAAATCCTGCATTCAGAGTCATACTTTAAAAAAGAACAGAAGTATACTGGTGTAATGTGTCAAAGTACTGGTTCTGCTGATTACTGCCTTCTGAGAATTGCATATTATTGTTATAATTTCATTAAATATTAAATCTGGATAAGAATGTTTTACTGTATTTACTGGTGAAGCAAAATGTGTATATATTTTCACTTCAAAGAGTGACTTGATAAATCATGGAGGGACTGCAAAAGAAAAACACAAAGTTCATCTACACATATTTAACTTTTTCACATTTTCTCTTAGAGGCTAAAACCTTCAAAAAGGGAATATTTGGTCAGCCCACCCCATATTTTTAGGTGAATTAATCTGAAAAGTGTATAAGTAGAGTAAAAAGAAGCGAAAAATGGAAATACAAGCACCTTAAGCATATTAGATCATTTGACTTTCCAGGTAGTCAGACGTGTAAAACGTAAAAGTGTCGAGGATAAAGAAAATCTCCATGCATGCACCTCTTAAATCCACACTACACTGGATTTAAACTTATTTTACTCGTCCTTTTTCCCAAACATGGCCTCTCTGTCTATCCTTCACCTTCTTTGGTCAAAGAGAGTGGAGGTGATCCACTGGCGTGAATCTGAGTGTGACAAAGGGTCAGGGCACAGCCTCCTCCTCCTCCTCCTCCTCCTCCTCCTCCTCCTCCTCTTCAGATGCTGTTTTCTCAGGGCAGGCTGACGTGCTAAGCCTGCAGGGCGTGCAAAGATGTGCAATGCATCCCTGCCTTCCCCCGCTAGAGATGGCGAGGAGGAGAGAAATTCCACAGATCCGCAGACGGCCAGAAAAACCTGAGTGCAAACTGCTGACCTCAGCAGCACCACAGAAACCATGGTATCATGGGCGGATTGTGTGTGAGGCTGTGCCCGGAGAACTTACTGTTTGAGACTCCCAGTCAACAAGAGCCAGAGCCAACAGACGAGACAGTGACACATTATGGCAGCCAGTTTGTTCCTCGTACAGACACACACTGCTACACTGTCAATTGACCCCTTCAACCTCCAGAAGCTCCATTTAAATATGAATTATTCTTTCAAAGATTAATACAAAGAATTACTTTTTTCTTTTGTGAAGCACTTTCTCACACCTTCATTATTTTGTACTTGTTTGTTCTATCACTTCACTAAAGGGGTGCACTAATATTAAAGGTGAAATCAAATCAAACTGAGTATCTAACCAGATTTATGCCTTATCTGCTTTTTGGGGTTGGGAAAAAATACATTATTCACTCATACACATTCTGAGTTCTTCCGCAAATACCAAAAATCTCTACTGTATGCTGTTAATAAATGTATGTTTAGGGAACAATACCAAACAGAGTTCAGAATCTGTCAGAGTATATGTTACCTTAGTTTACTGAAAAAGACAAACATTTTGGCACATTTACAATTCAAAAACCTGATTATTAGCTCGGCATGATAACCAGCTAATGTTATCAAAGTGGAACATCAAAACTCTGGCTCTCATAAACAATACAAAGTCACACTTTCTAAAACAACTAGTTGAGTCTAATACACAACTTAGTCGGAAAGTACAATCGATAAGATATCATACGATGCCATTCATATGATGCCATTCAATGCACTTCATTGTCCCCTTGAGGAAATGTGTCTTACACTCAAGTGCTGAAGCTTACTGTGTAAATACTAAAAAAAAAGCACACATAGTTATCACACATAAGGTTCACATAGTATGGGTTCATTGTCATTTCAGCTGAAAAGTCTGTGGAATTCAGAAGACAGTGTAATATTAATCAACACAATGTCAATGGTAATATAGGTCATCGTCCCTGAGAATAGATGTAACACATTCACACAGAGTATGAACTCACACAACAGCTCTATGAGAGCATAACTAATAATACATATAAAATATATCAACCATGATGATGTTAGTGTTTTCAAAGGTGTTTAATCAACTCTGATATACGAATCTAAACTGACCTAACCACTAACATGCTGAAAAGCTGCATACTGTGTGTGTATAGTCTGAGCTTGCATCATTAGTCAAATAACCTGATGCCAAATCCGTACAAATGTTGTTTCTTTCTCCGTCTGACTATGTAGATTGTATTTACCTGTTGGAAATTGTTTGTTTATAGCAAAGAGCAGAAGTTGTTTTAGTGCGCAGGGTGGAAATGAGAGGACATTTTTGTCCTTCTTGAATGTTTTTTTGACATCCTGAAAAAGGAGACAATGTTTACCTGGGCAGAACGAGGGCTCCCTGACTTAACATTTACACATCATTACAGATTTAACAGCTCTATCTGTTTGAAATAGAAGAATGTGTGCTCAATGAGCCCTGTATTTTTCCTCCCGGAGCGCTTGTGAAAATATTAAAATACTCCACTGGCTGTCTGGGTGGATACATGCTGTTATTAATCCTGTTATTGTATTATTTTTGGGGCAGGGAAGCGGCCTGGATGAGTCTGCAAACAGGGAGGAAGGAGGGTGGAGGTGTCCGAGGTGAGGGTGAGTGTAGGGTGACGGAGGCTGACAGGTTCTTCAGCTGAAACCCTTGTCTTATATTTAGTCTGTATTTGGTTCTAAATGCTCGTATTGTTGAATAGGTTTTACACCTGAGTCTCAGACAATCTTCAGGTGTCTCCTCTCGAACAGAACACATGTTTGTGTGTCGGGGGGACGCTTCATGGCTCCAGAGACATATGTATAAAAACCACATAAAACACACACACAGGAGCAGACACAAGACTGCTTTGTCTCCGCTTGTAAAACATGTTTTTCTCCTGTGAAAAACAGGAATTTCCTGGACTTGTTATTGAGACTGGGAAAACTCATGTTTGCTGAGGCTCACTTATCTTGTGAGGTCGAGTTTTTGCTGAAGAAACTTGTCCTTTCACTCACTACATTTTGTGCAGCCAGCCTGAATACACAAGGCAAATTCTTTAGACACATTTATTTCTTCAAGGTATATAATAAAGATATATATATTTTTAAATCTGGGATGGTATTGTTATCATAAAAAATATAGAAACAGTCTCTATAGAGTACTGTTTTACTTGTTAATGAATAATTCACGTGTTTCTTTTTTCCAAATATCCAACAAAACATCCCCAGCCAAATCTAGTGTCTTTCTCCAAATAGCGATGGTTTCAATACTTCAGCAAAATATCCAATAACCTCAATGTTTCTACATCTTTTAGGCTGCTTTTCACTATGCCTATTCTTTATACCAGTATAAATGTGGTCATCAAATACTAAAACAGAGTAACTGAATATCTTTGTTTATTACAATGTTTTGTGCACTTTGCATACAGCACAGTAAATCAATTTGTTGAGAGAATTTTTACAATTTCTACAGTAATATTCACATATTGAGTACTTACTTACTTGTTATTTACTTAGTATTACTTTGTAAGTAAAGACTGTACATGGCACATTTAATCATAACAAACCCGACAATATAAGCTTAACATTACCAGACAGCTGTATGGCCAAAATCCAAACATCAGGTTTAAATCCTGCTTCTATTTGTTTCTACCCCATGTAGCGGTTAAGGAAAGATGAGACTCCACAGTATATAATGCTTGATGTGGTATATTTCTCAATACATATATGTATATATTTGGACGTGTAATACTAGATCAAAAACACCTTTTCCTTTTTGGGACATTTTGTGCTGAACAAATTGTGTCTTGCACTTTGGGATTAGTGGATCATCATCAGTGTATTGCTGTGAACTCAGTCAATCGAACTGTTATTTCCAGGTCAAACATGTACTTCCATGTTCAGTAAAACTCAGATTAATGAACTATTTATTCACTATATCTATATATAGAGTTATATATAACTATATATTTAGTCTTTCATCCCATCTGCAGTCAGACTGTTTAATCAGACTCTTTAACAACATCACCACCTCATGCTACACAGTGTGTGTGTTTTATTTTAATAACAACTCTTTCCAGTGTAGTTACTGTGTAATTTTCCATTATTGTATTTTTTTATTTAACTGATGTAAATATGTTTGATTTGATTTTTAACTTCTATTTTTATTTTTAATAATTATATTCCCGTCCCCTGTTTTCTTGAGCTGCTGTAATGCACAAATTTCCCCCACGGGGGATCAATAAAGTTTATTTTTATCTTTATCTTTATTTTTAAGTCCTTTTTTATAGCGTTAACAACACAAAGACTTAATTATCTGCATGAGGGCGACACCATGCGGCCTCAAGTGGTATCTTCACCTTGGATTCTGTCGGTCTGCTCCCACTTTTAAACATCAGTATTTGAAACGGTTGATACATGGGATTCATCAACCATGAATGAATATTGTAGAAACATTTAGAGAATCATTTTATTTATTATCTTCTGTTGGATTTTGTCCTCCGTCTTCGGGGTTCGTGACACAAAACTGTGACGATTACCAAACGCGACGGGATTCCTGCTCAGCCGGATTGCGAGGAAGTAGCGACACACATCCCAGGAGGAAGCAGAGATGGAGAGCCAAAACCATTGTTGTCCTGTTCACTTCGTCTTTTTGATCTTAATGTCGATTGCAGCATTTGTCCCGGTCTCTGCTGAGGGGACAAAGACGGTGGAGTTCAACGTGAAACCGGGAGGAGTGGTACACACGTTCACCGAGGGGATTGTAAGTCTCATTAAATCTTATTCTCTAAGCTTACATTGATCAACACCGACTGCACAAAATGAAAACAAGTAAATCGTCCCCTGCAAGTTAAAAGCTAGTTTAAGGTTGATGTTGTTTACTCGGTAATTATACAATAATAAATGTAAAACAAGTATTGTTGGTTATACGAGGTTTGTTTCTTCCGGTTTAGATTGCCACAGTTGATATCTCTTTATTGTTATTGTGTCAAAATAATATTTACAGTCTATGCTCAAAAGTGGAAAAACTACATTCCGCTGGTTACCTGTAGTCGCAGCGTGATGACGACACAGCCCGTGAGAGGCTGACACGTCGATGCCATCGTGCCACAACGGCTCCATTCATTGGCTGACAGATCACAAACTTTAATAACTTTGATCATTTCGTCTATAATTTCTTCTGTCTGAAAATCACAAGTAATAAGTGAAGGTTTAAGTTCATTATTCATTTTTAATTAATTAACTAGTCAATCATTTGTCCATAAAATAGCATGACAATAACAGATACCCATCAATACAAACCTGGAAGCAGACATTTTGAGAAGCCATAGCTGTAACAAGTGTTACAATCAGTGTTGATGGTGAATATGTGTGAACTGGCAGTAATATGAGTAAACATTTAAAACTGTCAAATATTATTGAAAGGTACGAGCTCCATTGTTATTCTTTTAACTAATCAAGTGAATTTCTTTATAGAGCACATTTAAAATCAACAGGACTTGAACCAAAGTGCTTCACAGCTGACACAGTGTTAGACACAATAATGAAAGAACATGTATATGGATTTAAATAAAGGGGATAAGAGATAAAGGTTAAGAAAAGCTTAACATTTAAACCATAAAGTTATAAAATTAATAGTGGTGCATTCATCAAAAATCAGGTCTGTCTAAACTAAATAGTGTAAGTAATTCTGACTAAACTGTTTAATGTTTAATTCAAAAGTTTCTAATCACCTTTTCCCCACTAAACATGATGCACTAGTACAGGATAGCAACCTGACATGAATGGCAGACACATGTTATTGATTTCTTTACGCAAAACTGCTGTTTGCAGAATGCTTGTCTTTTAAAGCTATAAAAGTTTATGTTTTTGCAGGTTTGCTAAATATAGCTAATTTGATAAAGGAATCAAATCAACACTAATACTGGTCAGCAGTCTGTTCCCTGATTATGGGTGATTAAAAACTCTTCATTAACACTTTGTTACTCTTATCTTATTACAGAGGGAGTATGAATGCTCATTCACATATGCCTCACAAGGGGGAACCAATGAGGTGAGTCTCTCTCTCTCTCTCTCTCGCTCACTTGCTCTCTCTCTCTCTCTCTCTCTCACACTCTCTCCCTTAGGCTGTTGGTATCATATCATTAATTTAAATGCATAAATCTCTTCTTCTGTTTGTTTCTTCAAACAGCAATGGCTAATGAGTGTGGGTCTGAGTGAAGATGACAGACTGTTTTCCTGCTCTGTGTGGAGGTGAGACACACACACACACACACACACACACACACACACACACACACACACACACACACACACACACACACACACACACACGAACAGAGGATGCTAAGCTTTCTGTGCAAACACTCCTCTTAAGCTCAGTGACCCTGATGTTCAGCACATCTTCAGTGAGAATCCTCGCCGTCTGTTTCTCTTTCCACTGAGTCACTCTCTGATTTTAGTTAATCATGACAGTCCCAGAAGAGTGGAGAAGGAAAAAAAAAAACCCAGCAGAGCTCATGGTTTAAATGTATTCATGTCCAACGTTGACTTAATAAGCGAATGAATGAATACAAATTAATTAACATTGCTGACACTTATTTCTTTGTCCTCTCTACCAGGCCCCAGGGGAAATCGTACCTGTTTTTCACTCAGTTCAAAGCTGAACTGAAGGGAACCAAAATTGAATATGCCAATGCATATGTAAGTATAAAGGAACCAGTATACCTTCAACTATGAGATGCAAATGTTTTCTGCCCACGCATGAATTTGTTTGTATGTTGTCCACTGATCCTAGTATTTCCTGGGGGGTGTTTACTTTCAGTTATTGAGAAGTTTAGCTTCTTCAACAAGCAAAGTTGATAAATCTTGAGTTTTAGCACCTAAGCCTTTTCCCAAGATGATTTACAGATGAAATATGTTGGACAGCAAAAAAGCTCATTTGACTTAGCAGCTTTACAAAAAGACTAACAACAGTAAAGATTTTCCCTCCAGTTTTAAGAACCCTGTCAGTGTTGAGATAAAGCTCCTCATTCTTGATCCGCGAATAATATCTGAGCATAACATTTCCTGTGTGTGCCAAAATCAAAATACTCTTGATGAACATCTTTGCATGGCCAGCAAATAATAAGCCTAACACCTACACACATCCAAATACAGCAGCACATAAATCAGGCTCGGGGAGAAGATTAAAGCAGGATGCTTTCTGTCCTGTAGCTTCTTTACTTTGTTATTGGCAGCATATGTGATCATGATGTGAGATAAAAGAAAACAACTCTCTGATCATGTCTTCAGTGAGAGAAGAAAAACACATCGCGCTATAACACCGTTTATTTGAACGTAATGGGCCTGAGTCTTGGATATTCATTTTTTTGTGAATTAAATGTAAAGTTGGGGATTAGATGAGTTAAAAGTTATTATCATCCATTAAATGAATTAGGTACCACTTAGTGATACTTAGTGATTACAACTTATTATGCTCACTGAGCTGGAAAAAGTCAGTACTACAGCAAATAATTACCTGTTCTAATACTTTGAACCAACAAAGTATGGACAACTAATTTTTCCCCATCAAAAAATGACTCTCAGCCCTGTTACCATGTTTTCTGTAATTTTTCCTGAATAATAAAAAATGTTTTTTCAATGTTAGTTATTTTGACTCAGCCCCGAAACACAACACACACTGTTCCTAATATAGACATAATTTTAGGAACACTTACGACCAGCAATAAATTAAAAAATATATATATATTTATTTTTTACACTGAAAATACAGACAGTATCATCACATGCACCCCATGTGTATTTATATGAAGCATACATGTATAAAAAAACAATCTGACAGGCATGGGCGGGACACCTCCCCTAATCCATGCGGGGGCTGCAGGGGCATATTTTAAGGCCCAGTTTTTATTATATAAAGGCTTTTCTACACACAACTAGATATACCTGACATCATCAGTGCAGAGTGCGCCTGACCGTACATTTTGAATAGAACTGAATGAAACACAGATTCACCTGTCATTTGGACCTGGCTTTTGCTTTACTGCACTTATCCTTCTACGACCACTTAAGTCTCCATGGAAACCCATCATCAGCTCCACATGTACCTGTACATTTGAGATCTTTTATCCCTGATTGATGGTTTGAGCTCCAGCTCAGCCAGTCACAACTCTGCAAAACTAAAACAGGGACAGACAGTCAGAGGAAGAGAAACTCTTTATTTCTCCTGGAAGTCAAATTTAAAACGTAGTGTCTTTGCTCATAATGTTTTGATGAAGGTTAATGTCTGGACTCTCCCCGAGTTCAGTCACTTAGCCGAGGTCTGCCGTGTCTGATGTGGTCATCTGTGAATCTGTGAAGTGAAGCACACCTTGACACGCCTCCTTCCCCCAGCAAGGACAATCCTGACACTGTCATTAGTGCGAGCACATGTTTCCTCCTCCTGCTCGTTCGCTGTGCCCTGCAAGTCAAAGACACACACACACACACACAGAAAATAACTTCACTAAATGATTGGACAAAAATAACCTCACACACACGCAAACAAGCGTACCTGCCACCCCCACACAGCATTTCCTTGACCTTGGCAAGACATCCTCCTACTTTCCTCTCCAATTTGATGCGAAAAATAGCTGTCTCCTGTGCCGCCTCTCATTCTGTTTTGTTAATTTTTTTTTTTCTTTTCCTCCCCCCCCATTTCCTCCCCCTCCTCTTCACCGCTGCTGTTTCCAGTCACAGACAGCGGCAGCAGGACAAAGTGACGTGCCTCTGAAGCCAGAGGAATTTACCGTAGGAGACTCAACAGGTGAGAAATTGATTGTATTTCCAAGTGTTCAATCGACTCTCTCTGCTTGTCATGTCAATCTCTTGCTCCCTCTCTACCTCGCTTCCTCACTCGACCTCCCCCCTCACTTCCATTGAGTTGCCAATTCCCTGCTGATTTCCCTCTTAAGCACATGCTGCAGCTGTGAGTGGGCTGCCATTTGTCCCTGTAGCATTGTTTGTTGTTTTTCAGTTTTCTGCACAGATCCCCACTGTGGCTTCAGTTCCGGACTGTGATTAGCAGGATTTGACAAGTCACACAAAACTTTGCTGTAGCATCAGATCAGACGCTAAAGAACAAAGGCTTATTGACTCAAATCCCACAGCTATCACAGACTTAATGATAATCCCCTCCCTGTGACCTCAGGAGAACACGCTCTGTTTGGAATACAGGGAGAGACTGCTTAACATCACTACAGTGGATCAATTCACACTCACAATGTTTACAATAAGAAGGTTGAAGAACACCAATAGGGGGGCACTGTGTCGTTTTTATACATGCTAAACCTGCCAACCTGCTCTACCTATAGGAAGGAAGTGTATTTGCACCTGCAGATGTCTGTAGGTGTCGCCTCCTACAGGCAGACAGATTTGCGTGTTTACAATTTTTTTTTAATTTGCGCCACCTGCAAGCAATGAAAGCCACATCTGTAGATTGTTGTCACATCTGATAGTTGTGTGTATGTGTGTGTATGTGTGTGTATGCACGTATGTGAGTGGGTTTAAACACATGTATTAAAAACCTATCTGGAGCAGCTCTTTTAACAGTTTTCCTTGCCTCTGATATGTGATCTAAATGTAAAACCTTCATGGTTGACAAATCTGGAGTTAAAAAAGACCTTGTCCTTGTTTTCAATTCAAGGTGGTCTGTCAAAAGTTTTTTTTTTTACTTTTACAATGAAGATGTATGAGAAATTGCTTCTCGGGCTGCAGGAGATTTTTTTATATTGCAGTACTGTGAGTTGCCACCGGGGACAAAGGGATATAAAGCCTATAGCTATTTAATACATCTATAGTTTGAACATTTTGTAATCGTTATAAAAAACAAAGAAAGTAGCTGTTACCCTTATTTACTGTAGATATGTAAACAGAAAAACACAACACTTACTCTCTGTACGTTTGCAAACAAATGAACAGATTGTAGCTATTTTGATTCATTCATGAACCAAACTTTTCACACCTACAAACATCAGACTGGTTAGCCTTTTTGATGTTATTAACAGTATAACTGGTAGCCAATCCAGAGCCAGCTAGTGAATGCAGCATCCTTTATGTAAAAGTACCACCAAGTTCATTGTTCAAATACACAATAGAGCAAGACATGCTCTCTATTCAGCAATATATAAAAAAAAAAATGTATTCTTGTGAACAAAACGGATACATTTTGGATATATTTAATACCTAAAATATAAAAAAACAATCAATAGATTGAGTAGATATGAAATTGCAGGTGAACCATTCATTGTATGCAGGTGGCACTAGCATTGAGGTGCCAGCAGCTATAACTGTTTTGATCCAAAGATGGTGCACATCTACATCGGTCAGTCTGATCTGCTGATCTGTTAGTTTCTGTGTGAGTTAGTGCAGATTTGTCTGGACCTACAGGTCTCAAACTGCTGGCTCTGCAGCCCTGAAGGCGCCTCTTGCTCTCAGATGATGCTGGCTAGTTTCAGGATCACCAGTGAAGCCGCGTGTCCTTGTTTCTGTCTTAAAACTGTCTCTGATGTAAACTCTCTCTCTAACCTACAGTGACCCACAACGATGGAAAGTTCAGTGCTCAACTCTCCAAGCTGACTGCCATTGGACGGACACGGCATGACGAGCTGTAGATGGTCAGATAACTGACTTTTTTCCAGTGAAGTTTTTGACCAATCAGAGCACCTTGATGAGCTCTGGGAGGAGCCTCTTGGTTTCAGCTCTTTAGTAAATGAAGGGTGGATTTAGGAGAGAGAATTTCTAGAATGACTTTTAAAACTTGAAAGGGATGATTCTGCTATTGCCGCACTTTGTATGTCAGTACATAAACCATCTGCTATGTTTTAATGAAGGATTTATGAGTGAAAACACTTCATGTGATAAAAAAATGCAGCAAGGAATCTGTTGCGTATTCCAATTTTTTACTACATAATGTCCTAGTTAAAATTCTGCCATAAGATAAAGTGCTTCCATCGTTGTTTCTTGGAAACTGAAGCTGTGAGATTTACTGAAAATATAGTTCTGATGCGGTGGGGATGTATGTGAATGTGTAGAGGATTGGTGTCTTAGGGCTTGAGAGTATAGATAACATATTTAGAGTATGGAGGGATTTATCCATCCTATGTAATCCTGAGAAGAAATTGAGTAATCCTCAACAGCGGCATCACACGCGCAAAAAAACAATTACATTTTCCTCAAATTCATTCTGCTCTAGACAGCTGCACGCATGCATTTTATCCCATAAATCACCAATTAGTACCACTTTTATGACTTTCTGTGCTGTTTTTGGTCAGAGGGGATACTTGTTACAGAGCAAAAAAAAAACAGATTTACTGTAAACTAAAGATCATTCTCATTGGATATTTGTTGTTGATCCTTTAAATTAGATTTTTCTGGATACAATGCAGAAGAAGATACACATATGCTCCTTATCTCAGGATATTTCAGTCACTTTGCAATTTTAATAATAGCCCAATATAAATCAAACACAAGGCGTGCACAGGCGTTAAGATCAAAGAGTATTTATGGCGAAGAGATGTCATCCCATATTCTGCAGCCCTTTTTCAAACTTTTACTTTCATCTTTCTGTGCCACGTGTGGATCAGCGAGGATTGTGCAGGTTTCAAAAGTACATCCCTGTGATTACAGGTCCCCCTCCTCTCCCTGATCCCCTATGTGGCGTATAGGATTGCCTTTATCTTCCTTACATTGATCCAACCCTCTTAGATCCACACAAGTGTCCACAAGATGAGTTCTGGGGATTGATTTCAGATTTGAGGATTTTGCTGATTTGATTCTGAGGTGGGATTACTCACAGAGATTCGTACGTTGTTTGGTCTGGGTTTGGATTCTCTCATCTGTCTGGAGAAGTTCTGCTGAGGAGTTGAGGACATGCTCAGTTTGTTCGTCCCTTTGTCAAAGTCGAGGCTCCCTCTGGGATCACAGCAGGAAAAAAACCCACATCCGATTGCTGACCCAGGATAGAAAAAAAACAAACAAACACAAGAAGTGACTTTTTTTGTACATGCTTTCTTCTTTGCTGTCCTGATTCATGCTGAAATGTGATGGATGTTTCAATAAAGACACAATGTCACTATGTCGGAGATAACTCTTTTTTCTTTCTTCTCTCGTAATTTCAGTCATGATCTGATTGAACCTCCCACAACCTCGCTTAAGGGTAACATTAAAAGAGAGGAGAAATTTGAGCCCCAGCATAGAGGTATTTTATATTCTGAAGGAAAGTCAAGGCCAGGCCACAGTGAACATGGTGGAGGTTTTCTTTTTGTATGCGCCTGTCATATCTGTCCTAACAAAAAAAAATAGCTATTGTAATTCTAGCACTAATGTATTTCTAAATTAAAGTCAGTTTGCATGCTGTAAAAAAAACAGCCAGTTTTCAGCAGACAAATGAGCCTTAAAATGAAACTTTATATTAAAATAAACAATGTGAAAAATGCTCTCTATTGTCCTCGGATAAACGTTTTCCATGAGATAAAGAGCTTTCATTGTTTCTTGTTAATTTCGGGGGAATAAGGCTTTACGGTGAGGATCTGCTAAATCCAGCTGCACATATGGGAATGTATAGCATGTTGACCTTTGAGGGCTTATAGAGAAATAGAGTCCAGAGGGATTTATTCATTTCATGTTAAGCCAAGAGTAAATCAGTAATCGTGATTGTCAGGAAATTATTATCTGTTAGTTTGCATTCTCAGATTTTAGAACGAAACATCATTGTTACCATTGCTTTTCAGTATAATCTAACAATGTCTGTTCCTATTGAACACCTGTATTTCATGTCGAAAAAAATCCATTTTGTTGTAGCACTGGTAAGAAGAGCAGAGCTGGTAAAAGCTGTGCCAACAAACTCCCACAGATTAAAACATCCTACTGCAAAGATGTGACCATTTTAGACTCTCATTTCCATTTTTGTGGCCTCGTGTGGAAAAGAGTTTGACTCTTTGTTCTCAAGCTGGTTGTTCCATTAAGTAACAAGTGTCTCTAGTACAATAGCTCTTTGTTAACGACCTGTTCAGCCCTCCTCCGAGACTCAGAACTGCAGCTATGCTGTCATTTAGACCCTAAACACATATCACAACTGTTACCATCTGGTACCAGTAAAGATGTTTACTTCAACTTTTTCCCCTATTGTGCCAAAACCAGGAAGTTCGATACACTTGATGCTGCCAAACACTGGCTTACATTAAAATAGCTTGCATGAAAAAGCCTTGATTAGAGACATTTTGAGACTAGCTAGCAAATAGCCTCCAGCGATGGCTGTGTCTTAATGTCAGTCCAACACAAAAGGCTGAAACACCTTAACAACTATTCAGTGAACTGCAATGTAACATTCGAAGCAATGTAACTTTTGTAACTCTGACTCCATCTCTAGTGCCACTGGCAGACCCCTGACTACAGTAGACCAGATATAAAAACAAATGTGTACTTGTAACCTTGTTGTCACTGGTTATTAGCCTACCAGTTTCAACCAGTTTAGCCACAGACATAGCCATGTGTTATGGCATTTAGCATTCATTTTTGAACACCATATATTTGAATACACATTTATGTTGCACCTCTTTGGGAAAGTCTAAACCCTAAGGACAACTTTTGTTCTACTATTTCTACCATAAGAATTTCATTTCACCCAATAATGACCCACAATGACATGACTACACTGTGCTACATGTTTAAAACCAATAAGCAATTGTAGCATAATAGCATACCTAGATGGTGAACATCGCTGAGTCATTGTGAGCTTGGTTGCATTCTAATGTAAGCTTTTTTCTGCCTCATTTAGCTGCCAGCATTGCTGTTGAAATTTCCCAGTATGAGTACTCATAATGTAAAAAAAATCCCACAAAACACAAAACCAACAATTAAATTATCCTGGGGCGACTCACAAATGTTTTAGTGTATCAGAGCGTTTAGCTGTCCAAAACACTGAAAAACTCATAAGCCAACTACATTTATGCCTTTGATAACATCTTCCTTCATAAACTACAAACACTACAAACATGTGCACTGTATTTTACTTTGCTAGTTTAAGGAATAGACATCACCTTGATATAGTGACATATCTTTTGGCTATTTTCATATTTCAGTATTTCTGAGGGTTGAGAGACTGATCGAATCCGATATTATATATATATATATTTTTTAAAAGCCACAAGAAGGTATCGTAACATTTCAGAATAACTTCAGATGGCCAAGATAATGTGCCATCGATTAGAGGTACTGTTTTATTTCAAGTTGTACTAGTAGACTAGTATGTAGATTTGGTAGTGAAATTTGTAAGTTAGAGAAGTGAAACATTTCTATGTTTTTTTTTTTTAACTAAATACACAAACTTTATTCAAAGGAAAAAAAGGGTCCCTGGCACACTGTTTGGAGCCATAAAGCTAACAGGAAAGTTACACTTTCACTGTTGCGGGCCCACCACCATAACTTCTCGCGTAGCATTTTAAACAGTGTTCCAGGGACCACATTTTCCTCTGAGGACATTTTGTGTATAGAGTTATGAACATATACCACAGAATCTGTAAACTTTCACATTTCTCTACCATACTCCATAGTGCACCTTTAATAATGCTTGGATTGCAGTTACTGTTTTTTCCTATTTCCTTTTGCAACCACCTGCCCCTGATTTCGCCCTCTTTACGTCTCCTGACATTTTGAGGGGAACAGATGGAGATTGTGGCTGGGTCGGTCAAGCCAGAGGCAGCAAAGGAGATGGGATTTCTGTAACACCAGGGGCCCTGTGAAGGGTACGCCAAACGACCAGCTGCCCCCTGTCTCTTGTTCGGTTAACTTCCTATATGGCCTTGCTTAGTTCTTCATATTTTGCAACCTTTTCTGTCTCAAAATCCCTCACAGATCTCCAGGCCTCTCCCCTCCCCTCCCCTGCTTGAAAATGTAGCCGAGTTCTTGTTAAATCATCCCGACTTTGACAGCAATTATCCAGCCCAGACAATGCTGACATATGTGACTGGATGTCCCTGTCTCTTGTTATTATGCAATGATTTAAATTTCCTTCATATTCTATCTAGTTAGGCCTTCTCCTTTGCCCATTCTGTGGGCAATCTGAGGGAATCTGAGAGCCTGTGTGCATAGTGAGTTTCTGTTACCCAGACATATGTTTTATTGCCCTGTGAAGCCCAAGTACTCAAGAGATTTGTATAGGAGGATGTCCACAGAGTCAAGCTGTTCATCCTGACATACTCACCCCAAGTTACGTCCTGTAACCTTAGAAACTTGGTCTCAGCTCATCTTGACGAGCCTTAAATCACTCTGCACGCTTGCCGACTTGTGGCTGGTTGTTGTGTATATGGCTTTGTCTCGATCAGCCTCCTGCTCCTGCTGCTGCATTGTCTCACACTGTGGTCGAGAGCAGCCTTCTTTTTTCGGGGTATGGGGGAGCTTTGCGGGGCTCCTTAACTTTCTCTGTTGGATCAGAAAGTCTGTGGTGGGGGTACGGCGGTGGCTTGCGACTTCTACGGCATTGTCCTGTCTGTAGTTTAGCCTCTGAGGTTCTGTGAACGGGGCCTGCTGAGGATGCTCGCCTCTCTCTGTCGGTATCAGAAACAGGTTGAGTTTTTGGTTCTGTGGGTGGGCAGCTCGCAGATGGAGATTGGACAGATTGGTTGTCGATTTTTGGCGTCTCATATTCCCCAACTTTGTTCTCTTTGATGACAGAAGGGTTGTTGATGGAGGGCGGGGGAGGATTTAGAGACACAGTGGAGGGAGGGGAGACCCTGATAGAGGAGAGAGGTACAGGGGAGTGAGGCTGGGAGGAAGGGCTGTTGGAGTGATGGAGGTTTATGGTCAAAGGGGAAAGACCAGGAGTTGGAGGCCTCACAGGAAGGATTCTTTGGGGAGACATGTTAGGGTCATTTGAGGCATGGTTTTGCAGATGAGGAGGGTTTGATGAAGAAAGACTGCGTCCACCTCGTCTGGGAGAAGACCCCAGACTGCAGGTGAAGCGAAGAGTACGACTTGGGCACAGCAGAGCGTTTGGCGGAGATTGGCTCCTGCTGTAACAATGATCTCTCCTGAGGGTGCCAGATGAGACTGACGCTCCTGGCTGGTGTTGTCTCCCTGAAGGTCTCTGATTGGTGCTTCCCACCATGACATCACCAGTGCTGGAACCTGAACCAGAGCTGCTGTCGCTGGAAGGCTTGTCGCTGTCGTCTCTTTCAGTCCTCCACTGCTCCTCGTCATTCAGATCAATGGATGAGGTGAGATAGTCGATCTGATGCACCACCTGGAAAAGAACACACAAGGACAGATTAATTCATTCAGTCTGGGGATGAATTGAAAAAACGGGATTGGAAAATAGGGAGCTGTGCTGATTTGACCCATGAGTATCAGTTTCAAGAGTTGTATAATGTCGTCTGTGGCTCTGAATGGAGCTTTGTTGTTTGAGAAAATGACCCTGCTGATGTCATGATGATGTCATCAGGGTTACCTCAGCTTGGCAGCAGAAATTTAAAGCTTTGACTGAAAGCTCTAACCGAAATGGCGTTACAAGGATGAGGATGTTTATCAGGCAGGAAATGTCAAACTGACGACTACTTACACTAACTAAAGTTTATGCGCATGAGTATGTAAAGACTGGCGTTGGCTGTATGGATGCATATGTGAATTATGCAGACATGTAATTTGTCAAGTTGTGAGTGGGAGCTATGTGTATATATCTGCATCATGGATGTGTGGGAACAAATAGTGCGTTCATACATGAACCTCACTGCTTCTTTACTAATGTTTTTCCCTCCTTGTACATTCATATGACACCCACTGTACTCTCTGCTTGTGCATGCATTTTTTATATTTAACTGTGTGTTGTGTTTTCACAGAATTCTATTGCCCCCTTTGTTTACATATGCATATGTACAGTTATATATTTGTAATTTGTTTAGAGTCTTGAGCCAGATGCATCAGAGTTTCGTTCTACTGTTTACTTGTCTGTAGAGTCTAAACGACAATTAGGGAATCTTGAATCTTAAAACCCTTGCATTATGGGAAATGTTGTTTACAGCTCATTTTTAAACACAGTTATCACCAATAAGTCTTTTATCTTCCTTTTGCGATAATTCTTTAGGCTATTTAATCTCTTTTTTTCCACCAGTGTCCACAATAAATGAAACTGCAGTACCCAAATGCTGCAGTGCCTTTTATGAACACCTAAAAACTGCTTAGCCCAAGGTGACATCTGCGAATGTTTTTATTTTGTTCCACGGTCTTAAAACCAAAAACAATTCAATTTGAATTCATAAATAAAACACATGAAGCAGCAACCTCTCCCCAATGACAGGCTGGATGCAATGAAAGTCTGTGGTCGGATGCTCATCAATGTGAGCTGCGAGAGCTATTTAAGCATTCTTTTAATTAATTTTAAGCACAACGTTTGAAAGGAAAAGGAGAAAAAACATGAATCCAAAAGATTTACTTTGTATACACTGCGTTTACATGATCAGCAGCTTAAACCCCCAGTCAGCGCAGGACAGTCCAACAATAATCCAAAAACCCTTCTTTCAATTTCATTAATCTCAAACAAAATACAAGAAAATATAAACACAACCAATCTTACCCCTGTGGCCTCTACAATAACGCTGATGTGAAATGTTAGAGTGGTTTTTCTTCTCTGAATTTTCCATGCCTGCATTTATAACATATAGCACTCCAGATGTTGACTCTTTAACAGCGCCTTCTGACCAGTTGTGAAGCTGTAATCTTTAAGTGTGTCACACGAGTTACAACCGAGTGCAATAAAAGCTAAGAAGGGTGGCCTTACTACAGGGAATGTGTCAAATTAATTTAGGTTGGTTCCTCTTCGTGCAAAATGAAAAAAACACTCTTTACAATGAATCATATACAGGTGTACACCTCTGTGAATGCATATTTAAGTGAGCACGGTAAAAGTATATGCACAATTCAGATAATGGTCATACAGACAGTCACACACACTCACACATATGGGCTGAACCATTCCGCGCGCCATACGCACGCACACACACACACACACACACACACACACACACACACACACACACACACACACACACACACACACACACACACACACGAACACGAGCACGAGCACGCACGCACACACATGCACACACACGGAGACAGGAGAGATTGGAGAAAATTACACTGGGGAAAATGTTTGACCTATCTCTCCACCTGCTCAGCGTGCACAGATAAATCCTCAGCCCTGCTGGAACAGATGAATTATTGTTTTGTTCTGTGTGTTCAACAACATCCTTGCCGATGTCAAAAGATGACCTGGTTTGTCTTTGCTTCTTTTCTTTTCTTTTTTTTAAATTGTAGCTCTTTGCGCCAGGCATTTCCCTTTTACTTTGAAGTGCAGCGTGTGTATGCACATGGAGTGACTGAGCAGGTGCTGCTTGTTAATATCAGAAATCAGAGGAGATAAAAGAGCAGAGGACCCTGTTTTTTTTTATCTGTGTTTCCCTGGGTGTTTATTAAAAACAGTGTGTGACCCCTCAGGTCTTTGCATATGCTGCTGATGTGCAGTCAGCAGTGCAGATCAGTTGATTTAACTCTTTTGGTTTGACTTTGTTTTTGTTTTCCTTGCAGTTGAGTCATAGCACTGTTTTTGAGTGTGTCAAAATCAGATTTATTCTTCTGTTGTGTAAGAGGTCTTTAGTGTTGCTTTAATATTTGTATAGTCTGTCTAGAATGCTTTACAGGCTCTCTCCAATTCCTTTTTATAGCAGTGATTGATTTTTAAATATAACTGAGTGTTGCTGCTCATGCAACAGAATGATAAAACAGGTCTTTGAAATAAATATGCGACCAAAGTTTTCTCGGGTGCCTTATCCTTCTTTGATCTGTCGTCTCTGTTGTGAAAATTTGGATTTTCTATCACAGTCTGAAACTCCCCCTCCTCCTCCTCCTCCTCCTCCTCCTCCTCTTCCTCCTCCTCCTTCTCTCCCTTCTTTTTGTGTGGCTCATATGCACTTTCATCAATTTTATATTAATGCTGTCACACAAAACCTTCCCAGCGAGGATGATGAGGTTACTAACTCTGGCTTAGCTGCAACTCATAGATGCAGATCAAATTGCGAGAGGCAAGATTTTACGTGTCACACTCACTGGACAAGGCAGAAATGCTCGGACATAAATGGATTATAAACAAAGCGTCGGACGCTATCCAGCTGTGCCTGGAGCGACATCTGTCCATATGGAGAGAGAGAGAGTGCAGGAGGAGGAGATGTTAGAGGAGGAGAGACAGAGAGAGTGATAGAGTAGAGATGCATACCGCTTTGCCTGAAGTCACACAGCATCATATCAGCAACCTCTGAATGCATCATGCAAATGGGGCATATAGCTATTGTCTCAATCACCCCTATTTAAATGTTTGAGTGCGGGTTGTGTAAATGTTTGGTGACAGACAACAGAGGAGAGTTGGAGAAGCAGTTTGCAGACTCTGGATGATTCTTGCAACCCTGCTGCTGACTTTTTAATGCATGTAAGATTCTGCTGAGGACGTGCAATGTTATCTACAAGCCCTTAAGGTTTAATAGAGTTAGCATGAACATTTCCTGCATGAGGAAACGTGTAAATTAATGAGGGAGGGTGCAGTAACTTTTCTGATTTTGTTCTGAACTGGTCTATGTGAAAAATGTCATTTGTGCAGGCAAAATGGTTAAATAAACACCTTCTTGTTCTGAAAAAAATACCCGGATACATTACCTCTCTCATCTCCTGCTGTACATCCCTCAATGCTGTAAGAACCTGCTCCAGATTATCCACCACTCGTTTGATCTGTTTTCGAACCACTTTCCTGCTGCAGCCTCCCTCCGTCTTTTGCGACTCCCCTCCATTCTTCTTCCTGTACTGCACCCACGTCTGATTCTGGCCTAGGATCGAGATGTGCTCCAAGCTTTGCCTGGCTTTCCTAGGTCGTTGCAGTGTCGTGGTGCAGCCCAGGCCGCTCTGAGGAACCTCAGTGGAGAAGAGGACTCCATTGAGTGGCCTGTGGAAACCCTCCACAGGTGGTTCCCTCAGGTCTCTCTGGCTCTGCGAGTTCCTGCTCTGCTGTTTGATGTAGCTGAAGCTTGAGGTGAAGCCATGCTGCCTCTCTAAGAGCCCCGGCCTGTCTGTGCCGACCCAACTGGAGGAATGCAGGTCTCTATGGCGGTGAGTGGTGTTGCTGCTGTAGTCCCATAACTTCTTGCTTCTGTCCTCCATGCCCATCACCACTGGAACTTTACAGTTTTTCTCTTCAGCAGCAGGCGCAGGAGGTGGTCCTACGAGCGGCCCATATTTCCTAACCTTGGTGCTGGCCCTGTCATTCTGCGGCTGAAGGGTTCCACTGTGGTTCCTCGTGGAGCCCTTGCTTACATCTTGCGGTGCCTCCTCTGGACTGATCTGGGTGCTTGGGTCTGGTTGCAGTTCTGGAGACTGGTTCCACCTTGCAGGACTCTCTTCCCTCTGCTTTCCCAGGCTCCCCTGCAGGATGTTGTGCCCCCTAAGCACCACCGGCAGCATCCTCGCCATCCCCACGCCATTACACCGAAGCTCACCCTTCTTGGCTCGGTCCTTCCCCTGGATGGAGAAGAACCCAATGCCTTTGGCTCTCTCCAGAGGGGTCAGGTTGTTGCGGGCCTCCGAACCAGATTTGAACTGTCCGTTGAGCCCTATGTCTCCGCTTTGGTGGGGTTTCAGACTATTTCGCAGCCAGGGGATGAAGTGAGGGGTGTGGGGTTTGAAGCCTTTCTGCTCCCCCGGCACTGGAGCTCTGCTGTCAGAGAACATGGTGATGGATGATGTCCAGCAGCCTCACAGACAGAAGGAGAAAAAGAAGACGAACAGGAGGACTCCTGGGACACAGAGCTTCATCCTCTTTTTCCATGAATCTTCTCCCGTCTTTTTGATGACACTATCTGACTATATTCAGTCTCTTTTTTCCTTCTCTCTCCCTCTCCAAAACTTTTATCTGCTCCTTCCCTCCTCATTTCTGATCCCTCCCACCAACCCGACTCCCCTTCTTCCACTGAAGCCTTTTTCCGAAAAACCAACCTTTCTCTTATCCCTCCGTTTCTTCTTCTCTTCCCACTATCCTTTCTGTTGCTGTGCTCCTGAGCCCCTCATCCCCTCATTGGGCTGGTCTCGGAGATGCCTTGGAGGGCCTCTCTCTCTTTCTCTCTCTCTCTCTCGCTCCGTCTTCTCTCTCCGCCTGCCTGCGTCTCACTGGCTCAGAAGCAGTGGAGGCTTCCTGTCTCTACATCTCTCTCTCTCTCGCGCTCTCTCTCTCTCTCTCTCCCTGTCTCTCTACCACCCCCCTACACTGCGCTGCGCTGCCTCCTCTCCTGGCTCTTTCTTCCTCCCACTCCCTCTCACTGCTCTAACTCCCTTTCTCTATTACCCTCTTCTCTCCCCATCTCTATCTCTTCTCAGTGCTACTAGCTGCTCTCATCTTGTCGTCCTTTGGCTTTGCAACTCTCTCCTTACTTTCTTTTCCTCCCTCGTTCTGTCACTCTCCTTTCCCCCCCACCTCCTATGTGCCCGGCAGAGCAGCTGAACTAGTGTTATTAATCCCCCCGTTAGCCAATGTATACCCACGTGATCCCCCCCTTGCTTCCTTTCTCATCTGATTACTTCTTCCCCGGCTCAGCCCCTCACAATTAAATGCTGCTTAGGAGTCCAAAGGGGGTTTAGACGGGAGGATGGCAACGGGAAGGGATGGAGGAGAAATAGTAGGGGGGGCACATAATTGCGACCCACAAGATCAGAGATCAGCACCAGTTTGACAGAAACTATAAGCTGCCTGCCTCTAAACAACAGCCTGCCTGGCACGGCTCTCCCCAGATTATTCTAACTGTCAGCAAATAGTGTCCCGTTACATCCCAGTTGTTTTCCCTGTTTTATTTTCTGCCGCATATCCAACTTCCATTTGTTCCAATTATGCGGAGACAGCTGCTATTTTCGGGTTTCTCATTCAAATTCAAATTCTTGGCTGTCTGGATTAGATTTCTTGTGTCTGACAAGCCCAAAAAATGCCTCCTAGGTGTCTATTTTTTCGCAGCCACTGTGGCTGCTTGGATGGGACCCTCCCTGGCAGCATCTGAAATGAAAAGACAGAAACACAGCCACACAAAAAGCCCTGACAGTTTGCTGTCACTCAGCAGTGAGACATTCAAAGCATCTGTCATTCTGTTAGTCAGCATGGCAATGTATTCCTCTGGTAGTGCCCTATGAAAACACGACTTCATTCACTGACATATCTTTTTTACAATACAGGTAGCAGGGGGGTGGAGAGGAAACAGACAGAGGCTCTGTGTAATCTGTAGGCTTTAAGAAGATTCCTGCCTACATGTCGACAGACTGCTGTCAGCGCGTAATGACCGCTAGTCTGGATAGAAAAAGCCTATAAAGAGTGGAAGTAATGGAGCAGCCACTATTAATCCTTTAGAGGATTGTTCCTCACGGCATGTGAGTGCTCAGAGCTAAAGACTATTTCTGTACAGTGTTTAGGTCGCTTCTGCATTTAGAGATTTGATATGTGTACGTCAGTGCTTAAAGGTTTCAAAGGATATGATCATTTAAAACTGAAAATGACTTTGAAATAATGTTTTAATCATTTACATTTAATGCAAGAGCATAGTCTCACACAAAAGTAATAAGTTCCCCACAAGTCTGAAATAAATAATGAAAAAATGTTATACAGACAGAACGTGCAAAAAAACTGAAGACATCAGGTTCAATAATAGCTTAACTTAATGTGTAAATGTTGTTCAGTGTTAGTGCATGTTAACCTGAATGTAGAAGACGATATAGAGATTACTGTCCAGTCAAAATTATGTATCTTCAAACTTTGCAAGTAAAAAAAAACAGATAATAATTAATAAATAGATAGATAAAAAGAACAATAATAATTATATTGACTATTGTGTATATGAAATGACACCTAAAATATATAGAATGAGAGTCTAAATGAATACAATGAAAATCTGAATACATAGAAGGTTAGCTGGAATATATGAAATAAAAGTTTGATAATGTGAAATCTAAGCTTCATGAAATTAAAGATGAAATATAAGGAATGTGAATTTAAATACACAATTTTTAGTTGAATATGTGTAGTGTGTTTCTCCCAGAGGTGTGTCACTATTAGTGAGTCTGCACAGAATCTTGTATCAGCAATCCTGAAGAGACAACTGAGGCCCTTGCAAAACGCTTGCACTGTCCAAAGTAATGCTGCTAACTGTATTCTAAACCGTTATATTGATGTCGAGGTTAATCACCATTTTATGAGTGAAAGTCGCTGGCCAGGCAGTTCCTACTCAGCAGGCAAAACCTCCCACCACACAAGAATCTCACTGTTACCTTATTACTTTGTTGAAAGAATAGATTATGGATTCCCCATGAAGGTACATATTCAAACTTTCATTTAACATATGTCTTGCTTCTCATATTTAAACATTCATTTAATAAATTTAATTTAATCAAATGTACTTTCCTAATATTAGGACAGTCATCAGATATACTCCCACTTCATATACATCCAGTATACTGTATATAGTTAGGAAACACATTTAAATAATCTCAGAATGAGAAGGCAATTCCCACTTGGTCCTTTTAACATCTGGCAGGTTAAGCTTGAAAAACAAACAAATAAAACAAACAAAAAACACTTTTTCTCTCTTTCTCTGTGGGTGTGTATGTTATAGGCCTTAAATTACATCTCTTTAAAAGATGTTTTCCTTATTCCTTATTTCCATTATTCTCATTTTCATCAAATTTAAATACATCTTAGAGGTCCCCAACACATGTCTGTGAAGTTTCTTGTTGTAAATCCATTCTGATCCTGAATTTGATCATGCCTATAAACTCCTCTATCTCAGGCCTGCTCAGAACAGACTGTTTCTGTGTCTGTACCTTTAAATGCTAATGAGCTGTGTCTGACCACGCCCCTCTCTGGAAGGGCTTTGGTGGCTCGAGCTCTTGCTTCATGCCATATTGTTAACGGTGAGTAGGCAGACTCAGAGGGCAGAACAAACACCTATTTGTGGGTGTCACCCACCTTGGGGAGGGGTTACTTCCCTTTGTGATGTCATGAAGGGAGAATCTCCAAACAGCCTATTTGAGCAAACGGTTTCTGAATAGTGGAGCAGGGAAAAGATGGAGAGGATGGACTTTTCTCATAATTTGGAGGTTTGTAGACAGACTAGAGACACATAAGTGTTAGAAAAACATGGTAATGTTTATTTTGCATAATATGTGACCTCTAAATCATCCTGCCCCTTTTTGAGGTCCAGGATTAACACGACAGGGAAACATACACTATCATTGCACAAACATTTAAAGTCAATGTGGAATAATAAGTAGCTGTCACAGTCGCAGTCTGTTCGCTTTTTGGCTGGTTAAACACTTAAGTCCTGCTGCTTTTACTCCTTTTTTTATATTAATGTGATGAATGTGAGACTGATGGATGGGTAAAAATGAACTGATACTATTTCAAAGCTGGAAGAAATCTCCTTTACAGTTAGCTGCAGTGTCTCTTGTAACTCCTCTAATGCGGGAGGTGTTTTGTCACCATCATAGATTCAATATGCTTGGAACAGTTGGTGAAAGGGGGAAGCAAACAGAGCATATGGCCTCATTGTAACCTTGTCCGCTGCCTCCTGTAGAGCTCCCTCACTTGTTTTGAGTCCTGTAACAAACTGACGGCCCATCCAGAAGCAGCAGAGCGTTGCATGCTGGGACTCTACAGCTGTATGAATGTGTGTCTGCTGAACTCTGCTCCCACTGCAGGTTCAGTTTCCCGGTTAAATTTCTCCGAGCAGACACAGAGAAAAAGAGAGAGAGGACATCACTGAACACCTTACATAACTCGGCGGAAAAGATAGATGTTAAAGCAAAGCTTTGAAAGCAAAAGGCCCCATGTCTGTCCAAATGTCCTGTAAAAAATGGCCTTTAGCCACAGTGAGAATGAGTTTGGGCATTTGGTAGCTTTCTATAGCCACCTGGACGGCTACAATTTGCAGTTTCTTAGGGATTACTTGTGTTTGCAACAATGAATTTGGCTCTGTTATGACACAAAGTAAAGTTTCCTGAGAACACATTGTTCATTTTTGTTGCATTAAATATGGAAGTGAGCAGATGCTGTCTTCCCTGAAGTGTCCAGTGTCGCGCTGCTGATAATCCTCAGGGCTTCAGCACTGAGTTGTGTGTTTATGTGCGCGCTGCAGTGGTTTTGCCGTCGACTCATATATATTTTTTTGTGTTGTTTGCTTTTGGATTCCCCTCCCCTTCTCCTCCTTGAACAACACGTCAGTCAGGTGCTCTCCGAGGACTCGAGAGGGAAAGGAAGAGAGAGTGAGGAGCGGGGACACCAAGAAAGAATAAAAGAGAGGCAGAGAAAAGACAGGAAAAAAGAATTTTGAAAGACTTCTAACTTCCAAAGCTGACTGTCATAGATGTGCTTGCCAGAGGGGAGAGCACCTTTAAGCATACTGGATGAGTAACGATGTGGAGGGACTACAAAAGCAAAGTAATACATAATAAGCAGTGCTTGCTCTGCTCTGCTCTGCCAGCTAACCTACATGAGTTTGGTGCCGGGAGAAAATTTGGAAGTGCTTGAAAGGTCAGCAAAGACCTGGTGTAAAAGGCGCTTCTCCTTAAACGCCTTGCACACACTGTAATAAGATTTAGAAAGTACGGATGTAGCTGTTAGATTGAGATGTCGGCCTTGACACGAACATTTCCATAGAAGTGAGGAACGAAAACAGACAGTGTGGGTGACTAAATCAAAAACGTGACACAATCTTTTGCATACTGTGACAAACCATGAGTTTATTCGCAGAATAATTCACTTGCAGGTCATCATCAGAGCATAAAACCTGCTTCTTCTTTATATGCTGCAGCATAAATCAACAAATGCATATTGTCTTCTGTCGTCAAAGCTGCAATCATTGCAAAACTGCAATGGTTTCTTCTTTAGTACCACTCATCTTTTGACTGCAATCAAAGGGCTTTTTTCTCTCATTAGAGCTAAAAGGCATTTTCAGCAGCTCAGATGATAAAAGAAAGTCTAGAAATATGGCCGTGTGATGTTGTACCAGTGCAGAGAATAGCCTGCTGTTTGAACACAATGCCCTGTGGTTTGTTTTGTTGCACCACCCAGAACTCAAACATTAGGGTGTTTGAGCCCGTATTGACAGGCGGCCAGACTTTGTAGTGTTATGCCAAAACCAACTGCCTGTATCCTTGCAGGAATGGACCGTGTTAATCCGGCTGGGTTTGTCCTTCC